GTGAGTCTCCAACGCGCTGGCCGATCTTCACAGAGTCTTCTCTCACTCGACGGGTCAGGGGTCACGAAGGAAATGCTTTGTTGGTTTGTTGAGCAGAATGTCCCCGACCCGAATTAAACGTCACAGAGTCGACGCTACATTTGAATACTTTTAAAAATGCTCGATGCCAAACGCGAATATTTTTTTATCCTGGGTGAGTTTTTACCACCAACAGCGAATATTTCGCAAGCAAAGATAAGATGAATCACCACATTAAAATAGCCAAATTTACTTCTGACGCAATGGACAATTTGTTATACTCGCCTACAGAGGGCGCTCTCGATACGACTTTGCTCAGGTGTCGCAATCATTTCCTGTGGTTTATCCACGTACCGCATAGTTTTTGAAATATTTGTAATTGCATGGTTTTATTAAGTACGGCAAGCAGTTAAAGCTATTTATGCGACATGTGCAGGGTTTTTAAAAAGAAATTGTGTTGCTTGCGATCATTCGTTATCGTTTCAATTTTATTTGTTTTAACAAATTATTATGAAAAAAAAACACAGATCAGATCATTAAATATTCGTCCAGGCTGAGACCACGGAGACATTGTTTTCAATTTCGCTGAAAAGGAGTATTTTGTACAAAAGTTCGCATGACCACAAAAAAAAAACGTTTTAACAAAATGACAGAACATATACAAAACAGGTTCTGCCTTCAATCATAAATTGGGGTGGGGTCGCTTTTGAATTTCAAGTGTGAATGGTAAATGCAATTTTGGTTGGTAGCAGTGTCAGGTCTGTGGCCAATTCCAGAAAAAAACTTATTTGAGGAGTTATCCTCCCCCTTTATAACAAAATTAAATACAACCTTTTTGTTTCGTAATATTCGCAGAGTATAAACATGGTGGTTTTGGTTGGCGAAAATAATGTCAGAGGTCTTTTTCAGGTATTTTTCCATGGCAACCGTTTTAAATTGTGTGAAACAGCCATTTTTCTCAACTATAAAGCTAAAAGAAATAATTTGTTATCAAAATAGTCAAGACTATCGATACATTAATTTGCATATTTATTAATTACCACGAAGTATCCCATTCCCCATCCAAAAAAGTATAAAACAAACACTAGCTCTTAATTTACAGGATATACATCTAGTCCAACAGAAAAAAAGGTGTGAAATAAAAATAATGACCAGATTTGACACCCATGGCGACAACCTGTTAAATACCTATCTATCCGCATGCAGTACACCCAAACGCCCATAGTATATGTGTAAATATTATGTGTATAATGCTCAAGGGGGTAAGCCTGAGAATCAAATAATGCACTATAATAATAACTACAAGTGTTAGCACAATAATTGAACTTCTTGACAATTTTATTCATTTTCGAAAAGCCCTATTTTGTTCTAAAATGTATATTTTTGAAATTTTTCACTTGAAAAATTAGGAAGTGTGTACTGTCTATCAAATTTAACACTTCGTTATATTTAGGCAAATACTGTGTATAGATTTCAGATTTTTTCAATAACTTCCTTATTTTGTTCATTTCAGACACATCTGAGACAAATTATATTATATTTAGAATTTTCTTAATGAGCGGAGGAAAATGCTAATTCACATAATAAACAAGTAAATGCCATTCATTACATGTTTTCTGCTCAAATGGCAATACAAAACATTAGAATGAGTGGATAAGCGTTCTATGAATATTCATATGTACAGTCTGATGCAGGGTATTATACACTGTTGAATCATGTAATTATGTATGCAAATGCATAAATTAGGTCATTAAAACAACATATTCTTATTTTAGGTAATTTAAACCCACTTTTCGTGTGTTTTATATGTAATATGAAATAAAAAAAATGTACACACATGTCTGTTTCCTTTGAGTACCCTTTTAATGCAAGGCCTTAGGAAGCAAAAATTAGTTGGTCCGGCCATACATCGATAGCCGTAGTCCCGAGGCGTATTATGACGTGGACCGAAGGACCACGTCTGCTAGCGGGGCGTCTACCCGGTATGGCCGGTACGGTTCCTACGGCCTAGTAATGATTAGAGGCAGACTATTGTCCCAGTCGGCACTTGTTACAAGACACAAAATATGCAAATTCTGAACAAGCTAAGACACCCTAATTAGAAGAAGTATCGTTTCATCTCAATTTCGCCTTAATTCTTTTTTATTTGAATACGAAATGTATTTTTTAAATGGATACAATAAAAGATTTGATGTTATACTCCCATATCGGGGGGGGCACTATTATTGGAAATCAGGTTAACCGTGTAGTGCGCCGTCAATCGTCTAGGACGGGTTCGATGTTGAGTTAACGGACTCAACATAAAAATTACTACTCGTCATTTGTAATTTGGACATCAACGTTCTGATAGACACGATTATAACATGTACTGATTAAGTAGTATCAGTTTACCGCCATCTGTGGCAGAATATGACAGAACCTATGTGCACGCCAACAGGTTATCATTATCTTAGTCCCGGTGGGGAGGGGGTCACTCTATATTGAAACCTTACACCATGTGCGTTCTTGCTAAAAAAAATAATAGGCCCCTAGGGCTGGCAGCACATTGGCAAACCATACACCCTATTGCGGACGCAATGTAAATTTAGTACCTCCTAGAGCAGACATATTGAAGAAAAAAACACCCCCTATTTCAGACACATATTGAGAACATCCTACCCCATATTGCGAGCATTCTCTGCCGTTTTTTGTGATCAACTCAAACAAGTTACTATGTATGTTTTATGTTATTGTATACACTACTGAAAGCTAAATATACTGGTCAAGTTTCCATCGACAGTTGTAAATTTTGTACGTGTAAGAACCTTGTTTTGTTAATTACAGATTTGTGATTATCTGTAATTAGCGAAACGAGCCATATACGTATTAAATATTATTATTTTCGGCAAATACTATTTTGTAAATATTGAGCATATAAAACCCATATTCACTGAATACAGTTCAATTTTTATTATGTGTGTTATCCTGTTTCGTTTCGTTTCGTTTCTTCGATTACAATAAGCCTTCTCCGTATGCTCGTGTTGGAAGTGGCGGGTAAGTCCCAGTGGGAAAGTTCAGGCGGACGTTTGCGGCCTAGTCGGGGCTATGGGTCCGCCAATTCGGGGTCTAGGGCGGTGTATGAGAGTGGTTGTTTCAAGAGAGGGCCTACAACGGGCGCAGCAACACTGTGAGTTTATTTCTGGGGGCCTATTGCAGATATCAGCATTTTAAAGGGGGTCTATTTGCCTCCCGCGTGGGCCCGCTCTGGAAGGTGAAAAACACCCCGCTTTCCCGCTAAATTTGGAACGCACATGGGGTAGTAACAGCATATAGAGTGAACCCCCCGGGATCTTAGTGCGTGACTCCATGCACTCAAAATCGCCGTATTGAAGGTAGACTCGGTAATTCTGGGTAGTTTGTTAATTACGGGCTCTTATTTGCTCCTATATGTTGCACAGTATGCTACGAATTATTGTGAGTACTGCATGACATTGTTGAATTATTGTGAGTACTGCGTGACATTGTTGAATTATTGTGAGTACTGCATGACATTGTTGAATTATTGTGAGTACTGCATGACATTGTTGAATTATTGTGAGTACTGCATGACATTGTTGAATTATTGTGAGTACTGCATGACATTGTTGAATTATTGTGAGTACTGCATGACATTGTTGAATTATTGTGAGTACTGCATGACATTGTTGAATTATTGTGAGTACTGCATGACATTGTTGAATTATTGTGAGTACTGCATGACATTGTTGAATTATTGTGAGTACTGCATGACATTGTTGAATTATTCGTATTAAATCAGCAACATTGAACGATAATCATTACTTTGTTGTTGTGTTGTGTGCGTGCCCGGTATAACTCCCTTGTATCCCAGAATACGTCCTGTCGATACGTTTTGATACACTGACGTGTTACGCTGTGCCCGTAAGTATTAGGCGACACGACTGTAACATGTGGGATTGCTTCTAGGTGAAGTGGTTTCGAAAGTTTCCTCAAATTTTCCCAGAGACATCATGGCAGTTTCTAAACATGAGTAAGAGACTGGGTTAGCCTTTCGCCAATTTACCTTGCACTCTCCAAGTTATATAGAAATACAATTCGTTCTAGAACCGGGCAAGTATTGAGTCCATTGTATGGCAGAAATAGAACATGGTAGACATAAAATGACTCTTGTCGACCGAATATACTATGTCTGTTCTTTGTGCTAGATACCGAGGGATAACAGGACGAAAATCATTTTATTTGTGTATGTATCGAAGTACGATTGGTAGAACATTTCACCTTTCTAGACATTATGGGTTTCATATTTATGTCAAATTTGACATCCCTTCTACTTTTGAGCCCTCAAATATCAATTTCCGCCAGTGTGAGTGTCTTGCTTTTTTTATTATTTAGAAAGCCCCATACTTCCACAAATGGAAAACACCAGTGCATACAGTAAATTTCCTTCTAATATGACAGTGTTCCATTCAACTACGAAAAATCGACAATCTACCAACACTGTGTAGATTCCACACGTTATTGTTGTAGTCTTATTCTCATTATAATTTCTACATGTCAGAATTCTTGTAGTATCCTCTTTAATTACATAACATAGAATGTGCATCCAATTCAATAAGTTCTAAATGACTATTCGACAACGCGTCAACACACTTCATGAGTTTATTAAACGAACTTTACACTCAGTTTTCACCAAACCCTAATAATTCCATAGAAAATGCATTTACACATTCTTATTTTGAAACAATCAGCAAAGGCTGGGCTATATTTATTTTTGAAAGCAGTGCTGGGTTCTGTTTTGTTTTAATCGGATTGGGAGACACATTTTCGTACTTGCTTGTTTAAACCCAATCCCAATGCACAGAATGATCCTAAAAATCTCACAATAACGCATGTGACCAGTTTGTAACTTAACTTGTATTTTTTCTATTACAACATTTTCTAGCAAGACCCCTTCAAATTCATATTAACACATAAAACAAGAGCACGTGATGATAAGTGTATTTATTACAGCTAATATACACATTACAAGAAGTGATGACAGACACATAACCATTGTATACACATGACAGAAAATATTGTTCTATCAAACTAGGGTAATGAAAATTAAGTTGCTGCATGTTGCAGAAATTTGTATTTTTAACTAGATATTGTTTTTAGTAATTCGCTTGTCTGTATATTCCACATTCTACATATTGCACGTATGCAATATATTCATTTAAAACGTGCTCAATGTAGACTATATGATCATTAAGTTTGATATTCATTTATTATATGTGTAATGGAGAATTATGTAATTTAAACGAGTAGATATGATTATCACCGCCAGCATCATTAGCAATATGCGTCTGTCTGCGTTGTTTCTTGTCGACGAGAGATCGGTGCGGTATCTAATAGAGCAGAACTTATTCAGCTTCACATAAACAGAACTCCCCGGGATGTGCCTCTCGCCATGCGTCGCCAGCATCCTGTAACTCCTGGGACACTGGACGGTAGCAGCAGTTGCCTTCGTTCAGTAGCACGTAGGGGGCTAGATTTCTGGGATCGAAAATGAACGGGAAGGTGCACTCGGGGTTCAATTGGCCCTGGTAGATGCAATCCAACAGCCTGACTGTTTCCAAACACGATATGGAGTACTTTGCGCGTATGTGAAGGACTGTCTCGTTGACACACCTTTCCCGAATCACAGCCAAGTGGCAAGGGCCAAGCAAAGTTCCTATAAAATAAAAAAATAATAACATAAAAACAACTAATTCATATTTCGTGAATTAAATTTACAATTACAATCCCACAAAATAACTGAATACAACAATAACATGTAAACGAATATATTTGAACCTGTCAATTATTGATTTATTGTCAATTTTACACCTATATGTCGTTTCTCAGCCATCTTCCATTTGAACATACATTTTAGACAGACACTTTAAATTTTCTAGTTACAACCCAGTATGGACCTCGATGTAAGCAATGAGTTCAAATGTAAACTAAACAGGTAACATTTCATTGCAGAATTAATACGGATAAAATGTTTTATTCAATTACATTAATTGTGGATGCTTGCGTCATTGTTAGTACAATCTTGTCAATGTGAAATGTACTATTATTAGTACGCAGAGTCAACTTTTGGAAAGACGTAACACGTTGTGAAAGGTCATATTTAAATTCAGGTGTTAACTAACATGTGCATTATACAATGGTCACTGCCAGTATTGCACTTTTAATTAAGCGCCATATGTTTGCCCCCAAACTGTTTTTTTATATTTAAGTTTCTATATGGTCTTTGTTAATTTTGACCCAAGTGGACTTCGTCTATATGTTTTGATCAACATTTTCGCTGACCACGATTTTAAGCAGCTGATTTCAGCGTTGAATGGTAACACCGACAAACGGCTGAGTTACACCTACCCGGCAATGTATTGTCACAGATTCCCCATTCTTCGTAATACGCGAGAGTTGATGTCAACTGATTGATGTTTCGTACTATATCGAATCCACCAGGCGCAAATTCACAGAAAACCTCCAATAGACATTCCAACCTGATCTGTAACAAGAAGTATGAAACATTTTAAAGTGAAAAAAGCAATATTGTGAAAGTTTTTAGAGTTTATGTCGTTTGAGTGACATTGATGTTGTTTGAGACATGTTCGTATTAAAGTGATAGAATCTACATTCTTTAACCTTTTGAATGTATGCTTTATTCATGTCGTATTGTCGTTCTAGCCTTTCGTATCACAGTTAATGACCACTAGAAAACAATATTTTTAGTGAAACACTAAATCTGTCGATGCACATTCACAGCAACTGCTACAATGTAATAATTACTTACGAAGTTATCTGTCATACTTCATGGAATACTTACATTGTAGAAAACTCACTTACCCTCATGAACTCACACCATTGCTCGCCAAGCCCCACGTCCCAATTTTCAGGGTTATACAGGTACGCGTTCGCCAAATCGAAACATATGTTGTTCTGATGCTGGGTACATAGCTGAAAAAGAGAGAAACGATCAATGGCGATTAGTCCTTGCAACATTCAACTCGTCGAATAAATAAAATACAAGCGACGGAAAAATGGAGATCATCGTTTATGTTTTTATTTCACAACCTTACACACTTCTCCATTGTTTATATAAACTGGCAAACTGTACATAAAAATACGCACACATACTAAAACTCGAGGGATTGAGAGATGTCAGATTTAGGCGAATACAGGACACAGACTAAATGGTCTAGAAATATTAGCAACTTTTGTTATACTTTACAAAATAAACCCATATAACTTTCCCAATATTTTGTTTTCAAAACATTTGATCAAGACTTAAGCTAAAGGGAAATTTATCAATTTGTCCTAAAATTAGCAAATAAAATATAGTAAAATAGTTACTAAAAATGTTGCCAAATATTGCATCTTAGGGCGAAAGATGATTAAGTATGATTAATACGTAAGCGTATTATCACATACATGAATTGATTTATTGCACAACAAATGTTGCAATTCTTGACTTGACTAGGTATCTGAACCTGCATACAGCACAATGTAGGAATGTTGAATTTTACAAAATGAACACGTTCAAATACAGAGATTATTAGGAATGTTTGAACACAAATAACAATAAATAAAACAATAATCATAATAAAATAAAACTTACATCACAAACGTTAGGATCGTATGAATTCGTCAAGCCGGAGATAGCCAACACAACGAGAATTGTCAACAACATGTTAGCGGCAGTAGCGATGTTGCACTAGTCTGTCAATGGAAAGGTACCCCAAAAGTATCATAATTTTATACAGAATCTCCCTGTATTTATATTCTTGCGCAAACGTGTCGGCTATTCCCGGTAATGGTCACACGCCCTCGCAAGTAACTTAAGATACATTTTGGATTTCAACACAAACGTAAATCCGGACAGCGAGGAGAACACCACGTGTGATTCCATGGGCGGTACATGTTTTAAGTGATATGCAAATTTTACCACATTATTTAGGGATTTCTATGTTCGTTTATAGACGTGATTCTCTCCTGCTACTGGTTTCAATAATTACAATTTTTCGGTTACCCCTTTCACTAGACGTTCACCTTCGCAGCAAAATGTTATTTACGTTTGGTCTTAAAGATAAATCAATTGTATAAGCATTTATGATCAAGCATACACACGTTTTGTTGAACGTATGATTGCCGTTAAGTGTTGTGAATACTGATTACATGTGATGTTATTTTTACTTTGGTTATAATGCCGCAATATGCATATTAGCAAAGACGAGTGTTCCATTTCGCCTCATCGTATCTGATCTGGTATTCGAAATAAAGGTATCTTGCGGAATAAGTTTTTACTAAAATAAAACATACGTTTAGTGTTTATATTGAAAATGCACCAGAATATTAGACATTTTTTAAACTCATCATATGGAAAACTATCTTTTATAAATCTAGAACCAAAACTTTGAAACAATTGTACAACGAGCCAACAACGACTATCAACAATAACAATTTGTATTTATGAAGTGCATCTGACAAGTGTTTATGAGACTATGGCGATATATTTGTTTAAATTCATAATAGTAATTTGATTTGTATGTGGGCATTTTCAAAATTAGTTCTATAAACCTTTATTTTTTTTCAATCGACAAATATCATTGATGTTCTACGTAACGCTTAAACGCACCAGGATTCGTACTTTCGTGAATTGAAATCCTGTCCAGATTGTAGCATCCATGTAGTATCACGCATATACGTCCCATTATAAGTATTTGATAGCATCCGTCTAATGGATATGCTAATTGACGCCCCGTATTTATTAATAATATATATGTATTCAATTGTGCATTATCAACAATTCAAATGGCAATGCATTCGGAAAACATGCACGTAGGCCGCTCACAGCATTCGGTTAAAATATTAAACGAAAACATGTCTCATTTTATAAAACCAAATATTAAATTAAAAAGTAGGCACCGAATTTGAATCTAACATGCTAGTGAACGCCAAAGAAACGTTAAAAACATCACCAGAATGTCCAATGATTTATCCGTAGGTAGAATAAGTCAACTGCAAGCATTAATGAACTTGGCTTTGCTTATATATGTTGGTTGGTAACCCTTTAAAAAACACACACATATAGTGTAACTATTATAGGTAGTAACAAAGTGTCTACTTGTGTGGTTACATTTTTGGAAAATCAAAATTTTAATTATTTCATTTATGTAAACATTTATTCAGTGCATGTCTCTCATCTCGGCATACGAAGTTAAAGCTAGGCACTTCCACTTGTTAAAGAGGGACTTCTGATTGGATAAAATACTGTGCGATTGCTCGAAGTACGAGTCTGCACTTTTCATTAGGCACCAGCACCTGTCATTTCAAGGTTCTCAGAAGAGTGCAGTATTCCCCATTAGGGGAATCCAGCACTACCGGGGGAGTATTGCCACCTGTGGTAGACCAGCAGTACTACAGAAATATTGGCCCAAATGTGGAAAAGCATGTGTGTTTCATTTCACCCAAAATCAAAATTGATATTGCAATGATTTCACTATCATGGAACGCAAATAAGAAATGCTTTTCAATTTAAACACTTAAAAGTGTGTCTGGTTTTGGAAAACGTTTTAAAAATAGTATTTACAATCATTTGAATGGAATTTATAATCACGTGCTTAACCCTCATTTTCTAAATTATCAGCAGGTGGTCGTGGACTATGTACAAACCGCATTTTGGTGACAGAATATGAAATACACTCCTCGAAAAATAGTTTTGCCTGACTTATAGACTCGAAGATAAAGCTATATTCTTACAACATGTGGACACTCGTGGAAAATTTAGATTCGGTAAAACAAACGATACACTAAAGCTTGTAAAGCAACAATATCAGGTTCGGACAAATACAAAACCTACGAGAGCATTAAGGATGTAGTAGAAGTTATTGCAATTGCATTGCACATTTCTGAAATAACATATTCTTTGAATCCCATCAAGTTATATATTTTTAGAAAGCTTATTTTTCAAATAATATGAAATAAATAATCCAACAAATAAATGGAACCGTGTAATCACGTGATCACTGTGCAAATAGAGAGGTGTTATTTTCGAAGAAACCGAAATAAGGCCACAGAAATGATGTTCGCGATACTAAGAGATACTATAAAAGGTTTGAATTCAATTTCCCAGTTCGTTAGATATTGACCTTATAATACTTTTTAATGTTGTCAATGTTGTTTTGAAATATTGTTGAATGCATGCTTTATATAAATTCGTATAAGAGAATGTGGAACAAAAAATGTAAAATGTAAAACCTCTACTAAATCCTTAAAAGAATTTACACCTTAAAACTCTGATAGTTTCAATCAATGTAAAACATGGATTTCCAAGGGTTGATTAATAAAACAAGAAATAAAAATAATCAAATAACATGATTTAAGGCATGGGACCGTTCCAAACAGTAATTGGGAACCACTTTACATCAATAATATGCCTAAACATCATCATTCATGGGCGATTCCCAAGATGGAAAAGAATGCAAGGGACATCGCGGATTAAGAAGATTTTCGAATGGACAGTGACAGTTAGACACAGAACCTGATGAAGGTCAAAGTTCACCATATGTTGCATGGGAAATTTTAAATTCATGGATGTTAGACCTGTGTTTTGTGTAAAAAAATATGTGTTTAGTGACTGTAATATCCAAACGTTAAACGATAGTTTTAGTAATGTTGCCATTTGGCGCTTGTTATATCTTTGCTATGTATGACGTCATTGAGACGCGCATTGCATTGTGCGTTGTTACTAAAAATATATAGAATCCAACATGGTTGAATAGCGGGACCAAAAGCAATGTGTCGACTACTAGTATTTATTGATAGGGACAGACATTACATTGGCGACGAGGACGAAAGAACCACGGGAAGGCAATCCTAAATACCCGGTGAGTGCCAAAGTGACTGTGTGATAAATTTGAGCAAAACAATTTGTCCAGAAACTGACTGAGAAAACAGCGACAACGTGAGAATTGCGACGTGTTCACAGAAAGCATAGCCGACGCACCAATGGCAGTAACCGTTGTCACAGAAACTAGAAACCTCAAATGCCATCCGTTCACACATGCTGATGATCACATAACAACTGGCAAAGCTTGGGAAGAGTGGTTAGAAAGCATTGAACGAGAATTTCGGTATTTTAGAATAACAGAGCCCACAGACAAGAAAGATGCGTTGATAATTTATGGGGGAAAAGAAATAGCGAGATTGGAGAAAAGTTTACCTGATCCTACTACAGCTGGCCTCGATGTGTCTCAAAAATTGAAGAATAAGCTTGATGCATACTACACCCAAAGAAAAATAAGCATCACGCTAGATATTTATTTCTCAAGATGAAACCAGAAATGAATGAAACCACTATGGCTTATGCAGCCAGGCTCAGAGAAAAGGCTAATGAATGTGAGTTCGGTACCAATTGTGATGAGCGAATTTTGGAACATTTGATGCAAACAATCGACAAACAGGCCATAATCCAGAAAGCCATTAATAAAGAATGGTCTTTGACACAACTACTAACCGAAGCAGGTCAGTTGGAGGACACATCACTACAGCTACGTGATATGAAACCGTCAGAAGAGAGGTCAGTCGCTAAAGTAAGGCAATATAAGCAACACAAGAAATCAGGTACATTTGAAAAGAGAAAAAACAAAAAATCAACAGAAACCGTGTGGATAC